GACTGCAGAGCTACCAGCCCAGCTTCACCGGTGCAGTTCCTGAGCACAGCTAAAGCAAACTGCTGATGGTTTTGCTTTTCAGCCATATCACGCTTCGTCCGGCTATGGTAGAAGTTTGCCCATGTGAGGGTGTCCCCCTCACTGGGCACTGCGGGCTCCACTAGGAACAAATCCCCAGGATCTGGCCGTGCAGGGTGCAGGTGGAGCAATGTCAGTGACAGCTGATGTGAGGACAGTGACTCATGGATCCCAAGTGCTCATGACCGGTGACAAAGAGATGCTTCACAAATTGCACAGGCTAGCCACAGGTCACTAGAGCAACCTGGCAATTTGCAGGAGTCAGTGAATGGGCTTCAAAAGACAAAAAAAAAATCTGTTTTTCTTGTGACCTTTGCAAGAGACCTGGCTTGTCTTGGTGCATCCTGCAGAAAACTCCAGGACAGAGATCGGGATGCCCTGCCAAGTCCCAGCTGGAATGAATACTATCCACATGGTAGTTCAGAAGAGCTGTGCCAAGTTTCTTGCCTCTCCTCTTTGCTAACCTATCCATCACTGTTTAAAATAACTTGGCTCATTCCCTAGCTTTCCACAGAAATCTCCTCCACTGAGATGCCCTGGAGCAGATGTGTCCTGGGAATCAGCTTCTTTAGGTGCCCTTTCCACCAATTTATCATCACTCCCAGCAGTGATAATGCTAAGTGGCTGTAATACACCATGAAGGGTGGAGATCAGGTACGGATTGTCACCTCCATGTTCCAGGCAAATGGTGCAGAGGAAAAGGGCTTTATCCCCTTGAGAAACTTACTTAGATACTGGAGAAGAGGGAACAAGAGGAGAAAGGCAAACAGAAGCTGCTCCCGGCTGCTTCCCCACATCTGAACTTCTCATTTCCCTTCCTGTTTTAAGCATGTAATTCTTTTTTTTCCCCTTGGATTTAGTGTATTTACTTGTACTAGGGCATAAAACCCAAATCTGAATGTTGTTGATCTAATTCTCTTAAACAGAAGCTGCCAATTCAATGTGTTAAGGAAATCTGTTAAAAATACTTCTGTGGCTAATAATATTTTCCAAACCCAGTTCATTGTTATGTACATATTTATACAATTTTCAAAAACCACATATTTATTCCACACAAAGCCTTTGTCAAGTTATTCATTCTTTGGCAGACACAAAGTTCTCAGCATTAGTATGATTATTCTTATGATTCATACTGTGGTTGCTCGTACAAGGTCCAGGCACAGGCTAATCCTTTCATGCAAAGACAGTGAAAGGATGGTCCCTGCCTGAAAGAGCTTACAGTCTTGGAAATAACCCTATTCTGTTAAAAAAAAACACGTGGGCAGAGAGAAATCTACTTTTGACGGGTCTACAAAAGAAATGTCAGGGCCAGTGGCCATGCCAAGCAGAATAGGCAGATGGCTTGAAGCATCACGGTGCTCAAGGAGTCAGGAGAGGACTGAAGAACATCTAACTGGTTCTTCTTCCTTGTCCTCCTCATGGCTGCATGACCCATTTGGGAAGTCAGCCTCTCCAAGAGGTCTCAGCAGCCTCCCCTTTGAGGGCAGGACCTTGCCGATCCTGCTTGATCTCCTCTGCAAACATCCTCAGAGCTCTCTTTCTTTGCTCAACAGCAAGCACGTGGAGGCCCAACAGACCATCCGTGCATCAGTCGCAGCTTTAAAAGGCCCAAAGGATGAAGGATTTCAGGCATCCAGGCCAACTGATAACAAACATAAAGCCCAACAGAGATCCTGGGTGGAAATTCCATCTTAGTACAAATCAAACCCCATTCCCCAAAGGCATAAACCCCACTAACCTCCCCGAAACAGCACAGCTGTGGCCAGAAGTCTCCAGGGGGTGCAGAGCAGCAGCTACAATGGAGCTGCTGGTTGTGGGAATCCCAGGACCCTGGTCGCCTGAGGCTATGGAGATGTTCATGGTCTTGGCTTTTTACTTCCTTCTCAAGGGAAGAATGAGGTTCAAACCAGCCTCAGCCAGCTGTTACCAGCAGCGTGGACTGCTGAGAGCCTTGTCAGAGCTGTCTCCTCCAGAACTTTCCAAAACCCTGATCCCACTTCTGCCTTTCATGGGCTGCTCCCCCACCCACTGGTTTCCTCAGCATGCCTTTCACCATGGGGTAAAAGGAGGACTGACAAACTGCAAGAGTGACTGTTTCCACTTAGTGCAGGCACAGAGGGCTTTGATGCAGAGTCGGATGCCTGCCCAGAAAAGCTGTGACACCAAACAGGTCAAATGTGTGGTCCTAGTAATCCAGGATGCCACCCCTGATGTGACCACCTAAAAAAAAGGCACCAAATCCCCCTGGGCAGGCAGCGATATGCCAATGGCTTGGGCTGTGAGAAGTTCTTCCTAAGGCCTCTTTTGAGATCAGATTAATTTGGCAGTTTAAATCAAATCCTTATTGAAAAGGGGGAAAAAAATCCAACTGGGAGTAATTTGTATAGCAGGACTGAAAAATGCCATCTTAAAGCAAGACGTGCAGTTGGTGGGATTAAAAAGTCCCAGAAGCAGCACAAATAATAACAATCAGATTTTTCTCATACATGGTGACTTCCAGCCAAAATACTTCACAGACTTTCAGGCTGATTCTTTGTCCCATAATGTGCCAGCAAAAGTGGCCAAGATGTAAAAAAGGAGTAAAAGAGTGGGGGAACCAGACCAGTATGTTCATCAGACTGAAGGACCAGCTTTGGTTGGCCTAGCAGTAGAAAAGATTTGTGGACATCAGCTAACAACTAGTCATTTTGCTGAAGTGGTAAGAATCTGCACTGCGGCATTGAAGGTTTGGCCTCAAACTGCTTCGGCCACCCTTGATTCTGGTTTGGGGAAACGTTTCAGATGAGCTTTTGAAAAAAGTAACCTCTTCTACTGGTCTTCACCCTTCCCAAGTGAAAAGCTTATGGGAGCAGAGAGGTGACAGTCCACCTGTCTATCCAGTTCTGCAGCTGCAGTACTGAAAGGTTATCACCTCCAGCATCGAGGACGTGCCGTATAGAATGACTCTGAACTCCACCTCCGCCAGTTACATCCAGGGTATTTTCTGAAGCACCTACGTGAGCCAGCCCAAAGAATGGGATTTGCAGGAATCAAAAGCCCAGAACATGCTGATCTTCCAGCTCTCCCCGTTTTCCAATAATCATTGATTTTTTAAAATTTATTACAGGTCACAAAACCTGGCCTCCCAAGCAGATCTCACTAGTGCATCCAGCACTGCTATTCTTCTGGTCTGGCAAAGGGGAAATTCAAAGCAGCAGAGATAACTCAGACACAGGTTATTATTGAAGATCCCTCAGGATGCTTCAGAGCAGCAGAAGTAAAATGCAAGTTGGGTTCGATGAGAGGTTCACCCAAATGCACAAAGCATTCAAAAGAATATAGGTCCAGCTTTGATGGAGCCTTGGGAGAGGACTGGCTTTATTCTCAAAGTAAATGAATCAGTGCAAATTATAACCCTTTTTTGCTATGTGCCTCAAGCTTCTGGTCAGATCGATGCTCTATTCTGAGAGGATATAGATCCAGCAAAATCCTTGGAGGATGGAAAACCAGCAAAGCTGGTGTCCATAAGCACAATGCAGATTTTGTGCAGATAGTTTCCTTATATACCACGCTGTCATTTTTCATCATTAAAATCTCCCCCAGGAAGATTTTAAGGCAGTGCTGTATTTGTCTGAGATTTTCCCTTTGATTGCTGGTATCAGGAAGCAGCCTGAAATGAAAGAGAATGAGGCAAGGTTGGTAGAGGAGATGAAACCTTTTATTAGACCAACAGAAACTGGAAAAAAATGGAAAAAAAACTAAGCAAGCTGAAACAGGATCTGACAGACCTGAGAAAGCCTTGTGTGCCCTAAAGCATGGATGTTTTTATCCATCTATATCAGCTGATCTAATAAAAGATATTGTCTCTTATTACAAACATTGACTTACATCTCTGGACAATCGTGTCCACAGCAATTTTGCCACCATAATGGAACAAAGACACAGAAGCGATGAGTGGCCTGAAGACAAATTTGAAAGCAACAGTGCACTCAGAAATACCAAGAATAAAACCAAGGAGCCTCTGCAGACCTGTGGTCCAGATCTAGAGAGGTTATTTAGGCTTACTCTGATTTGATCCTCTGCATTTAAAAAATGAACCCAGACATCCTTGTGAGTGTTTCAATGCTGCGAGAAACAGTCCCACTACCACTAAATCTGTGGTGCTCTCCACTTTCAGTACCTGGTGGATACAGGATATGAGAAAACAATGTCATGCAAAGATACTAATCAAATATTTATGACCAATTGAAAAAACAGTTCAGGCTCAAGCAGAGATTCAGGTTTGGTTTTATTTAACTTGCACAGATTACTCAGTGCCCAGAGATTGTATTGGCAAGGAAGAAAATGCCACCACCTTGGTCAGATTGTAGACACCCTGATCCGTCATCGATGGGTATGACAAATGGGATCAATGAGGTGGTTTGGGATAAACTCTGCTTTAAAACAGCAGCACATGGAGGCCAAAAAGCTGTGAAAACGTTTACTGGTTCCAATACAACCAGTTCACAAGGCAGAGGCGGTCACACGGGCACACACTGCGGGGCTCCTCGGAGGTGCTCTGGGCACGGGGCCTCCTTTGGAAAGGATTATTTGGCTTTTAGTCACCGCACAGATAGTATTACAGGAGGTGTGCACTGGCAGCCAGCCCAAGTCCACCCTGGACCTTGCTGGTTGCCAGAAAACTAATCAGCAAATAGTTCCGCTTTCAGGCTGTTCCCTCCCCTCTCCCTGCACCTGCAACCTGTACCAGAGCTGTGCCTGGAGCAAAACCAGAGCCGCCGGCGCAGCGGTTGGGTTGGGAGCTTGGAAAAAAACCTGACCCAACGAAGAAAAAAAACAAGAGAAAGAGGACTGGAGCACGGCGAGGAGCCATCCTGCGTGTGGGGCAGGACCCGAGCACTGAGCAGCAGGTTTTCCCACACCACTGAGCTGTCAGTTCCCGCGGAGATGAACATTTCGTCGGAGCACAGGCCCCTTGGGAAGCAGGTCACCAGTAGCCTGCATACGGTGAATAAGGTATGGGCTCTGGGGCACAATTTCCTCCTGTGGGATCAAAGCATCCCCTCTGGGCTACATTAGAGGGTTTTTTTAACCCCATCTGCTATTTTGAAGACACCAGGGCTTGCCAGATATGCAGCCAAGAAGAGAACTCTAGGTAAAAAGCTGTGCCTGACTCTGACCTGTTTGCACCAGTTTGCTTACAGAAGGGCCACGTCCCTCGCAAGCACACAAGATCTGGCAACAGCAATTAACCAGAGTCATTCTTTTTCTCCTTTGACAAGAGGTGGAATTAATTTAATATTAATTGATCAGATCCCTAAATAAGAGCCTGTTGTGCGTTTTGGGGTTTTTCAACAGTTCTTAGAGTCTCTAATGATGCAAAAGCTGCCCTGTGTTGCAGATATGCAGAATCATCAGGTGGGAGCAGTAGTTTTTCTAGCTCTAAGGAAAATTAATGGCAATCTCAGAGAAGCAGCATATTACTAGGCAGAAATCAGTGATGAGATCAGATAATGTTTTCCTTTTCGTCTCCTCTGCCCTCAGTCTATTGCTAATCAGTTTCTCTTCTCTTTGCTAGCTGTACAGCCTCTCCCCAGACCTTTCTGTCTTTAAAAAATCCAACCTTCTTGTGTTGCACTTTTCAGGTGTAGGTTGCAGAATGCTTCCCCAAGGAGGTAACTGTTTTGCAGATTAATAAACTGGGGCACAGATTTGTGGAATGACTTTCCTAAGTGTCACCTCACTGGCTAATTACAGAGCTGGGAATTAGCTGGTGCCAGTACTCCCAGTCTGCTGGGAACCAGTTCAGTCCCAGGCCAAAACCATTAATCAAGATCTGAGAACATAAGGTTAGTTGGGCTACTGCATTAATGAAGAACATGTCACCCATTTGTATTAGTGACAAACAGCATGAAACATCTGAACTGCCATCTGAAAACGGAGCAAAGGCTCAAAGGTGTGAGACACTTTACCAAATGATCCCTGCCAGGGAAGGTTGTTGTTATCACTTGCACTAATGGCAAATTTCCTAACTGAGAGGCTTTATTAAAGAAACAGCTTTGGGCTGTGCCCTTCAGTGGGTGGAAATCACCACACAGTCTCAGACAGAATAATTTTTTACATCTCCTTGGCCCTAGTGCAAATGATTGCCCCCAAGATGGAGCCACCAACACTAGGGTAAAGCAATATTCCAGCTGGGTCTTTGGCCTGAATCTTCTGTTGTTTCCCTGGCTTGCCTAGGCTTTGAGCAAATTTCTGCTAAACCTGATAGCTTGCTGCTGTTTAAAGGGAAGGTCGCCCCCTGCTCCAGGTTGCCTGTTCCCAGTCTTTTCTTTTTGCCACCTCTGATGCTTGTTAAATCCTCAGTGAGCCTCAGCTCAGTAAGATGAAGGAGAAGCAGAGCTGGCACGAGGTGAGCAACAGAAGCATGTAGGTAGGTACAAGGATGGAAAAAGGAGAGGGCAGCAGGAGCTTCCCCTCCTCCTGGTGTGAGCTGTGAGATCAGCTCACGTCATTGCATGGGTCTGTACTTGTGGGATCCAGCTAAGCACTTAAGTACACGCTTCACTTGAGGCATGTGACCAGCAGCACTGAAGCAGATCCTTGCTGATCAGATCCAAGAAAGAGCAGGTGAGCTCTTGGACAAAAGGGTTGTTTATTGACTCGTGCCTTCCCAATGGCAGGTGTGGTCCCAGCCAGGCATGTGACTTGCATTACAGCAGTGACAGCAGGAGGGAAAATAGCTGTCTCCTTTCTTCCCTCTCCTTGTTCTCTACTGAGTACTATAAAAAATGACTGAGTGCAAAGGGAGGCTGTTAAAACTCTTTAGCACTGAACCGTCAGGAAGGGCAGACCGGACACCAGGTCCGGCTTTCTGGGCATTCAGGCCTCCTCCAATGTGTTTCTGATAGCAGTGGTGTTAATGCATGGTGAAATAAAATAAATCCAAACACAAACTTTACATTCTTCCTTCTTAAATCCCTATCAGTTGCATGAATTATTTTACTTCCTAGCTAGAGCTGTCATACATCTTTAAAGTGTTTTGCTAAACAGCTTCTGTCCTCCACTTCTGACATGCTGGATTTTTGTGTCTTACTTCAGTATTTATAACCAAACCCCCAGACAAGTGGAAGCCAATTCCACCCATTTCTAAAGTTTCAAAGAGCTTTAGTTCCTTCTTTGAAGAGAAAACACCAGCTTGGGTGAGAAGAATGGAGTTGCACAGCTTTGACCTCTATCCTTGCCCCTCTGCACATGGGGAGAGTGAGAGCTCACAGATGGCTCTTGCTGGAAGGACAGGGGCCAGCAGGGACAATGCTTGTGTGGGACTCAGGAGACTGACACTGACAGCCACCAACCCCTCCCCTGGGCAGGGTGCTTTTTGTCCCTCTTCCCCGCTGGCAAAACGACACTTTCCTACTTCCCAAAGATGTGGTGAGGACTTAGACATTTAGAAATGTCTCTGCTGCTCTGGTTATAAGGGCTGTGTAGACACCCTGCATCTGCTTTTAGCAATAAATGGGGTGGATGTTCCCATCTGTCCCCCAAGAGGTGGGAGCTCATATCGCTCTTCATGCTGTCATTCCAATTTCCAGCCACAATCACGTTTTTTTTTTTCCTTGACACTTCCATGTTGATGGCCTCAGACAGGTAATACCTGTGGTTTTTTGTCCCCTTGTGATACTTGCAGTTGTCACCGATCGTGGAGTTAAATGTCGGCGGGGAGATGTACACCACAACGTTGAGCACCTTAAAGAAACACCCTGGCTCCAAGCTGGCAGAGATGTTCACCGGCCAGCCCAAACTCAGGACTGACTCTGAAGGGAGGTTCTTCATCGACAGGCCAGGCACCTATTTCAAATACATCTTGGAGTACCTGCGCAGTAACCAAGTGCCCACCCAGTGCATCCAGGACGTCTACAAGGAGGCATTGTTCTACGACATCGAACCTCTAATCAAGCAGCTAGAGGACTCCCCGCAGATCTTCGGGGAGCTCGTGGCGAGGAAGCAGTTTCTGGCTCGCGTGCCCAACTACAGTGAGAACATCGAACTGATGATCCGCATCGCGAGGGCAGAAGCGGTCGCATCCCGCCGGTCCAGCGTCATTGTGTGCGTGGTCAGAACTGAGGAGGACGCGGCCAGATGTCAGGATGCCTTGAACAGCTTGGACATGGATAAAAAATCCGTGGTGAAGTTTGGCCCCTGGAAGGCAGCACCAAGTATTTCTGATCTGCTGGACTGCATTCAAATGGATGTTGAAGAGAAAGGGTATAAAATAGCCTTTCAGCCTCACGTTGCTGAAAAAGGTTTTCGCTTCAAATCGCATGACTTCTTCTACAAGTTCCTGTTCACCTGGTGGTAGCAAAGTGCCACCATCGATGGGGAACAGACAAAAGCAATTATTAAAACAAATCAACTTGGGCTGTGGAGACTAAGACATGACTAGAGGGACAGGAAGAAATGCATGGGCCAACACATGGATCTCCTTTGGTCGTGTGCCAAATTAAAGAGCACTTAAGAGCCACTGTTTACTTGGGCTTTAGGGGATAACTGTACGATTTAAAAGGTAATACGAAAAGGAGGAATTTTACTCTTTCAGTGCTGCTGACTATTAGATAAATTCAGAGGCAGATCTGAGGGTTGAGCCAACCTCACTCAACCCAAGAGAAATTAATAAGCCCAAATACGCTCGTGGACACGTGGAGTTGGTCTCCCAGTGAAACAGGAACAGGTCACATATGTGCAATTCCCAATGGAAACACTGACAGCTGCATTAACACATGCTCAAATTAAATTTGGATCCCTAACAAGCAGGCAAAAGCTCTTTTCCTCACTGTTTTCCATACCAGAACCTAGGTTAAAAAGAAGGATTTCAGGGTCCCCCACTCTCCTCTTGTTCCTCCAGTGGGCAGCCTATTCTCTAGGCAATGTATTTATTACTGTTATTTATTATTTATTCTGAAGGAAAGACAGAGAACCTCAGCTATGGTCCATGATCAACAAAAGGTAAAAACACTATCACTGATCTGAGGAGTTTATAATCTAAGGACATGCACTCCTCTATCAGACCACACTATTTTAATCTTTTTCTCATGACATTCATTATTATTACAATACTATTTCTAAATATATAAGCTTCTGGAAGAATAGGGAAACCCCACCGTGGTTTGATGGGAAGGAAGCGCCACTGAAGTGGCAGTCTGGGACCTCAGTGCAAATTCTCCTTTACAGACCATGAGTTGGGTCCTACATTGTGTTTTAAAATCTTATTATTCATAAGTTTATTTTTATACTGAAGATGGCTGTTAGCTTGGTTTTAATCACTCTGAAAAACATAATGGCTAATTTGATTATATTTCTTTTATTTCTCAGAACATGGATTTCTTCCAGTTAAGGACAACGATCTCTGTTATGTTAAATAAATAACTTCTAAAAACTCTTTGAATGATACAGAAGTGCTTTATTTACTGACATCTCCCCCCGCCCCCCCAATCCTAAAGATCTGAAGTTTTATCTCGATGCTAATGGATTTGAATCATTCCTAATTAAGCTTGGTTTCAGATGTGCTCATCCTAGCACAGATTTCCCCCCAGGGAAAGTCAGGAGTCATGCCACCGACCTCAGGGCAGTTCTACTGTAGATGTGAGGGGACTCTTTGAGAAGTCTCGCATTTATAACTGTGGTAAGAACTGATACAATCAGTGTCTAAGAAGGCAAAAAGGTTTAGAAAATAGGGTCTATGATCGTATCTATGATCATAACCAAGTGGTCAGTGGTGCTTAGCCTAGAAGAAGAGAGACCCAGGAGGGCTACAAATAGACAAAAGACTGCTTTAAGGAGATCAGCTACTCTTCATATGTACTAAAGGTGGAAGAAAGGGTAACTGGCTTAAGTCACAACAAAGGAGATTGAAATTAGATATTAGGAACAAAAATCTGATTATAGGATTGTTAAAGTCTCAAACCAATCGACTTCCTAAGACTACAGGACTGCTGTCATGAGGAACTTGAATAGTTTTATCAAGGATGGTCTTCTAGAACAGCCCAGGCTGGAAGGGACCTCGAAGGATCATCTGGCCCAACCTCTGGTGGGAAAGGGAGCATGGATGCGATTATCAAGCACCCCGTCCTGTCATGTCTCGAAAACCCCCAGCGATGTGGACTCCACTGCGTCAATGGGGAAGTTGTTCCAGCGAATGACGGTTCTCACTGTAAAAAATTTCCCTCTTATATTGAGAGGAAATCTCTCCCGGTGCAACTTGTACCCGTTGCCCCTTGTCTTCTCCACATGTCTCTTTGTGAAGAGAGAGCCCCCATCCTCTTTGTGGATGCCCTTTAAGTACAGAGAACACTGTGCTGAGGACTGCCCAGGGAGAAGAGACCCAACTCCTTCCATCTTTCCTCGTAGGGCACGTTCTCCAGACCTTCGGTCATCTCCATGGCCCTCCTTCGGACCCTTCAGCCTCTTCCCAAATCTCCTTGTCCCTGAGGTGCAACCAAACTGTGGCCGCCCCTGGCTACCTCTAGCCACGCAGCATCACAGATATAACTGCTGCCTGTGTCTCCTGTCACCTAACTAGACACAGGTCTGTCAGGGGGCTCCTCGGTGCCCCTCTCCTCGAAGGAGACACGTTTGAAGGCCATGCTAAGCTTTCACTGTGTCTAACGCGAGCTTGCCTGGAAACGTCAAGCCACGCTATTTATATTTTGGCCTTTATATGGTCTAACGTCAAGTACTAACGAAACCGGGGGGTATTTGGGGGGGGGGGGGGG